TGTTTGCATAGCTTCTCAGTGAACTACGGCTCTGTGAAGTAAATGCTGCTCCATCTGAAAGCATGTGAAAATACCACATTTAATAACATATTTTTACTCTAAACTCACTTCATAACGTCAGTCGAGTGTTTGAAATAAATCCTTCTGTGAGATGATGTGGCTTCTTACAGAGAATAAGGCACGCAACATATTTCATAGTATTCTAAGTAGTGATAAAGGCTATGGCGATTAGCATTGCATTTTTATATACTTTATTATAATAAGATGAACTCCGACAAACCATATATTGTCGTAGTCGTGTGTTTATTAGTCACGTTGAATCAATGAAAGCTGTTGAATCTTCTGTTTATTCAGCTGCAGCGATAGGCATTTCCTGGGTTTCTTCTGCGAGGCGTATGTGGAGTATCAGCGCGAGAGCGCCCTCTGGCCTTTGGATGGAGATTTACTGCTGATCACAGAACCATGCTTCACTGAAAGATACGCATGACAATAGCAGCTTCTGTCGAATCGCGATCTCGATTCCATTTCGATTTATCGTACAGCCCTAATTATTTGTTTATTTTTAAGTTATTTTTATTTTATTTTTTAAACAGTCAATATTGAATATATCAACCAATTTTTTTTTTTTATATCTGTGCTCATGTTTTTTCTTGACCTGTCGCCATCTAACACTCAGAGTTAATCTTTAAAACACTAACAATTTAATAACACTGTTAAATGTAATCTATGAATATCCATTTTTTATTTTGTACTTTATAATGTTATGATGCCTAAATTCATTTGTAGCTTATTCAGATTAATTTTATACTATTTTGTTTTCTGCCATTTATTAGTTATCATCCATAACATACAAAAAAAAAAAACTGGCTCATTGTATCTGCCAGAATTTTAATATTGGTGCCGCCCTATACTTTAGTTAAGCTGAAAACATTTTCTTAATCATGCTGATTTTGCTCCAGCATGAATGTGTGGGCTTCACCTGTGTAAATGTCAAATCCTGCTTATGATTAGCAGGTTCTGACCACTATTTTAGCTGTCACTTTGACTGCACAATAGTGATTCATTAACATTTTATGTTCTTGGCAGGTAGCTGAGGCTAGAAGTACAAAGACTGAAATTTTAGTTCCTAGAGAAACAGAGGAACAGAAATAAAACCGAACAAATGCAAACAGTGCCGATATGTTGCAGAGCAAGATTAAAGTCAAATAGAACGATGAGTTGAGTCAACAGCCTGTGATGTGTCTGCCATGAGAGAGATAAGTGTAACGAGAATAATTTAATATCTTATCCATGGCCTTATCTGCAGGTAGCAGTATCTAAAACATTTTTAGATGCCAAAAATATCAGTTTCTTCTGTTTTGGTCCGTCCTTTTTTCTTCAAGCTTGTGGAACAGGTTTGGTTACGCGTGCCATCGATCATTTTCGATGTGGTAAGCAGAAATAGTTTAACGCACGGGTCACATCTCTCAGTTCAAGAACACCACTCCTTAAAAAGAGGTGACAGGTTAGCGAATCTGTCCTTACGGCTGTGAACACCCTCTGCTGTGGGAAATCCACACTGCAGGATACTGCTGACTCTAGCCTGACGTGATTTATTGTATTCTATGATTTGGTCACTTTTTTTTTTTTTTTTTTTCAAAACTAATATTCTAATATTCTTTCAAAAGCACATTCTTTACATTTGTAATGTTAAATACTTTTTTTTTTGTGGGTCAAAGTAAATAACTTTAAATTTTAAATAGAATCATGTTTGACTAAAACATGAATTATTAAACGAAGCATTGTTCCTAAAATGGTAGATTTGGAATGTTGTGTCAGATGTTTTAGGATAAGCTGTGATATCGCTTTAAATAATAGTATTGTTAAAGTAATTACTTTAAATAGGCTGAATATTAAATATTTTCCCAGCTGGAAAAGAAAAGTTTGTGCATTAGCAGTTTTCTATAATTTTTGTTGATATTTTTATTTGAACTGTAATTGGTTCACATCTTCCCCATTGATTGCTTCAGTTCTACACTTAATCACTCAATTCTTATTTAGAGCAAGTTGTGTCACTGGAACCATTTTTCATGTATTCTATATTTCTGTCGCCCCATGATATAGACATTTTCATCTAATTTCAGTTGATAGAAGACATCCTGAAATATAATTAGGAGTATTAATTTGATCTCTGTCTCATTTATCTTTCCTAGGGGACAACTTAAGTAAAAAGAGGCTCCGCTTTTTAATAACTTTTATTGGAAGACCATGGGAAATATCTATTAGAAACATTATTTCTTGCTAGTTTATAGGTCAAACAGTGTGGGAACAGTGGATCCGTCTTTATCCACTTTATATTTCAGCGTGCAAGTAAGCTATTTTCAGTGAAAGTGCGAGATTCAGCTATAGGTAAATAATGAGAAGAATAACGAAGTGCAGTAAAAGGTAAAACTGTTTGCGCTACAAACCAGTGTTTTTATGATTATGATAATACATTAAAATAATATGAAAACAAATACAGCATAATGGGCTGTTTTGTACAGGTAAAATAACTGGAAGAGAATGGGTAGCCTTTATTTTGCTTTCACATAAAGTAGTTTTCTTTTGTTTGTTCCATTGAAAAGCTCCATCCACCTTAATCTTTAATTACAGCATTATCGCTCCATTTTCTAAGCAATCCTCAGTTCAGAGAAAGAACAATCACCGACTTTATTCGGATTACACCTGTGGAAGGGCGTCTAATTAGATTTGTCTACCCTGGCTGATAAAAGTGAAAAAGAGACACTACTGTTTTGCTGATGGCCCTTACTGAGAGTGATATGTCTTCAGTACGGTGTTTTGCAGAGGGTTATGGGTAGAATCACAGTATGTGATGCTGTTGTTAGGCTGTGATCAGGATGACTGATAACAGAAGCCCACAGCAGCAAGTGACCCACGTTCCCCGATGATTCTCTTAATCTTATGCCATGATGGCTATTAAAAAATTCCAATTTAGGCAGCTTGAGTGCCAGGTGGCCTACAGTAAGAATGGCTTTAATTGCGATGAGTTATCGCACTCGCTGTTGTAATCGGGCCAGGATCTTAAAAGGGGGGTTTGCACGTCTGACAAATTGATTTAATACCAATGTGATTCTAGCTCCCTAATGATCTTCTGATTCCTCTTCTCCCAGGGTGTAGACGCTGATTTCTAACCACTTTTTAATTGCGAACCCTTTCTTTATTGTGTGTGCATGCGCTTTTAGTTCAGAACGTGCACTGTACCATTCCACATTCCCAGTTTAGCTTCAGTATGATACCACTGCGGTGGGGAACTGCTGATTTATGGACAATTAGAGTGTTTTTTTGTGGAGTCAACAGTGTGAAGAAAAGAAGAAATGAGAGAAGAGGCATATTGGTTTCTTAAATGCCTGACTGTGGATGTCTGTCAGTCCTGTTATTTAGTACCTTTGCTTCTTTTGGGGATTCTGCATAGAGTATGCAACCCATCCAGATATCTCACAGCAGTACCCTAACCGCATCTTGCTAAATCAAGCACTAAATTGAACCTTTCTCAAACACAGACCTCTAAAATAGTGATTTAGACCTTTTTTTGGCTATTTTGCATGCACATCCAAGCAACTTCTGCAGTGTAGCTCCTATGCTCTATAAATAAATAAATATATGGCAAGTGAAATTAGGCATCACAACATTGTAATGTACAGTAATTAAAAATGGATATTCATTTAAAGATTTACTAAAGTAGTTTGCATTTACAACATTATTAAATTAATAAATGTTTAAAATATTAACTTTTGTTGCAAATGTCAAAATAAGAGAAATGAGCATGCACAATTAAATACTGGCCAATATATATCCAGTATCAGAATTATTGATGGATATATTGTAACGGGTAGTTGATACTGTGTTGTGATGTCATAGAAGAATCATTTTGGGTTTCTCAAAGAACCTTTCAGTGAACAGCACCCCCCACCCCCAGACACACACACACTTTAAAGCACCTTTTGTGGAATGGAAAGATTCCATGGATGTTACACTCTTACAAATAAAGTTTCCAAAAGGTTTTTTTTTTTGTAGCAATTAGGAGAACCATTTTGGGTTCCTCCAAGAACTTTTCAGCGATCAGTTCTAGCGTAAATAACATTTAAATGATCTTAATGGCCTATTCCACTCTAAAGAACTTTTTGTTCCAATTTTTGTCCCACATTTTTAACCTTTGGGCTACAAACTATAACATATTTACCTTCCATCATAACAAGCAAGCAAGCAAAGATTTCCTTCTAGGATTTTCGGGGTGTTCATACAGTCACTTTTAGACATATTTACTAATTAACTTGCACACTTGCACTTTAAAGATAGGCATGCAAGCAATTTAATACTCTGCTGGATGACTTGGTATGTCATAATAACTGTCTCTGTGTGTGTAAGGTCACAGAAACAGGCCTAACCAGTTTTGATGCTGCAATATACAGGCCACTGAAACCAGTCTCAGTATGTGTTGATTCAACGTGCAGCAGTGCATGTCAACATTTATATGAGCTTTATTTCACATACAGTATTGTTGAGACTTGTAGTCACACATATGAGAAGCTTAGCTGTATATCTGTTTTTGGTTTATCTTTGTCTTTCAGTACTTCCTGTGCAGTTTGGGAAGTGGATATGGTGGGTAGGCCACATACTGTATAGCAGAAGTTACACAGCAAGAACACAAAAGAGACATTTTAAAGAATATTAATATTGTGCTTTTCGATACAACAAAAACATACAATGTCCAAGTAAAGTTGCTATTTCTTACGTTTTTTGCCTTTATAGTGCTCTTTTTTTTTTTTAGCTTTAAAGATGATTTAAAGAGAACACTGAATTAATGTGATTTCATCTTTTAGTTTATTTTATGAATAAATTAAACCAACTGAATTCATGATTCATTCTGAAGGTACTATATTGTAACATTTGCTTGTCAAAGAAACTAAATGTTTACAGTACTTTTGAAGGACAGTCACAGAATACTTGCATTTCTGTTTCAGGGAGGGAACGGGCGTCATGAGCAGGTCACCTTCCTGACGAATGAACAGAAGATGGCACCGGCACGGAAGACGACCATTGCCGTGGGGGTCGTCATTGCCCTGTTGGTAGTGGCTGCAGTGGTTGGATTTCTTGTGTGGCTCTTTGTTGGTACAAAGATTCACCAATCATATCTAACTTGCTCTTAAATGATGAAAGTTGCACACCTATACTGCTGTTTAAACTTTTGGGGTCTCTTATGCTCACTAAGGCTGCATTTATCTGATCAAAATACAGTAAAAACAGTAATATTGTGAAATGTTATTACAATTTATAATAACTTTTCTATTTTAATGTATTTTAAAATGTAATTCATTCCTGTGATGGCAAAGCTTAAATTTCAGCAGCCATTACTCCAGTCTTCAGTGTTAAAATAATAAAAAAATTTAATAAAGGGGGAAACTGTGTGTGTGTGTGTGCCATTTTACCGAATTGGTGCAAACTGCTGTCCATTGTTGTTTTTAAAAGTATCTTTTTGATTCTTTTAAAAAGTGAAGTTCTTTGTAAATTATGAAACTTTATGTAAAAAAATGTGTCCCGCATTTTTCATGTCACTACCGAAACAGTATGTTTTAGTCCATTGGCTGAGACTGATTTTAACTACACCCCTAAATTTATGATCAGGAAATATTCCTGTGTCCTCCTCTCTCATAGCTACAAGGTGTGAGTAGATAGATCCCATTATTTTGAGGTAAATGTGTTCAAAAGTCTGAAAAATCTTTGTAACTTTAAGGAACGTCACTACCAAACACCTTTTTTCTGCAATTAAGCACACTTTTTTGGGAGTTATTTCATAACATTTATAGTTTTTATATGTGTACCACTGTTCAGAACTGTGCTAGCCAACCATGTGCTGATTAGCATCTTTGAGCTAGGTTCAAAAGTATCTAAAATTGTCACGACCGAAACATGTCGTCATTGTTTCGGTAGTGACTCAAGGGAACACATAATCCTCATATTTGGGGGAAATAAACAATTTTAGAGAACTGTGCTAGCCAACCATGTGCTGATTAGCATCTTTGAGCTAGGTTCAAAAGTATCTAAAATTGTCACGACCGAAACATGTCGTCATTGTTTCGGTAGTGACTCAAGGGAACACACAATCCTCATATGCAATTTTTTTTGTATTTTAGTATGTTTTAGTAGTGTTTTAGTATGCAAGTTAAAATTCTGTATGTGATGTGGTCACTACCAGAGCATTACAGTCACTACCGAAAATGTGCAGTCACTAACGAAACATGGGATGTTTTGTCAAAAATAAAGTATACTGAATTATCAGCTAAGATGTTATGACCGCTTTTAGTTCAATGTGTATTCAAACTAATGAATCCTTCACTTTGAAATCAGTATGATCAACTTACACTTGAAATATTGTCATAAATTACACTTGAAATATTGTTCAAATGTAATTGTTATTGATTTACCTCTGAACATTTTTTTAATAAAATA